TATAGGCAGCCAACATATGAAAATATTTTTCATGTTCATTTCAACGTTAATCCACTATAGATTTAACAGGTTGTTAAAAGTAAGTCTTCCATTGCTACTCACTGCATCATTTACTAACGCAGGCACCAAAATGCATTTTTCTGAGCCAGAAAAATTGAATTACTCTTTCGCATTAATGTCCATTCTTGCCAATGAATGGGTGACAATGTCCTTTTGAAGCTTTGTTTTATTTATCATGGGATTTGGTAACAGTAAAAAAAGACACATCATTCAGACCCAAGTTACTTTAAAGAGTTAAGTATGACTAACAAGATAAAATATAGTATCATAACTAATGAATTCAATTTGCTTAATAGCTAGATGAGGGGAACAGCTGCTAAATTAGCATGTCAGAGGGTCTTAAGGGGGTTCAGCCCGGCGCTTTAAGCCATACAGTATCATTTGTTAAATCTTCAATGATTGTTTGGACACTTTGATGTAGCCAAAAAGCTTTAAACGCTAAATTTAGAGTATGAAATTGTTATGAGGAACATGTTGGCCAAGGGTCCCATCCGCAGGTTGTGTCCACTTAATGATATAGGTTTAATATTCACACGTGCAGCTCTGATTTGATTTTCTCTATTGAATCCTGTAGGAAATAGCTATAGCCACTCAATGCTATAATACCCGCATATATCCGTATGCTTGGTCCTGAGCAGCAAACATGCAGTTAGTTAAAAGAGTTGAAAGATGCTAAAATGTGATGGGATGTGCAGATATTTTTAGCATATAGTGACTTTCATTTTAAACTTCTGGAATTTTTAAGTTGATTTGACGATCAGTGCCAAAATGATTTGTCTGCATTATCACAGTATAATATTGTCTCTGCCATGCCTTTGGCATCTATAATACTAAGACAGGAGTTTCTGTTTCTGCTGCCCATTAGAAATTGTCAGTTGCACATTAGCTGTTCCTAGAGCTGCGGTGGTGTATGTGACATGTTGCCAACCTTGTTGTTGTTGTGGGGAATATGATGATTCAGGGCTTGTTACAGCTGTCACATCAATGTAAAAGTCTAAACATAACTGTGCCAAGGGAGGTACAGTTTACGGTGTGATGACAAAGTTTAGAGGGAGGTACGTTGTAAAGCACTATATAAGACTCCTCTCTGCTTCTCCTCTTATTAGTAGGGCTATCTTTAGATGGCTCAGAATAATTTAATCTCTGGGAATCACTAAAATGTTCAGGATTGTAGCCTGCTGTGTTGTTGTCCTGCTGCCTGTACAGAATAATTGGCACCGATCCACATGATATGAATGGTAGAATAGGACAGGAGAGCTGCTGACTTGTTTGCTTTCAAAAGAGAGATGTGTCTTGAGATCCCAACATGAAAGTTTTGGTTTGCTTTTCCATGGGCGACACAGAGTTACATTGATTTCTTAAGGGGCTATGAATGCATAGATTTTCAATTTTGCCTTGTTTCAAGCAGTGTTGATAAGGTCAGGAACATTTACAATTATTTCATGTCTCTCATTCCATGCTCAATATGTTGGTATTCGTCTTAATCTGCAGTACCATGGTGTGTACAGTTCCTAGACAGGATCCTCTTACATAAATTGAACTTTTATACCAAGATATTATCTGGTGGCAGGTAGCTCTGAGAAGTTTTCATTACATGTGGACTTCACTCAACCTGTCCTGTCTTTTAGGGCCCATACAGCTGATGATCTTTTTTATTTCATATATTTGTAGATGACTAGAATGTTAATCAGACTTTTGGCAAAATAAAAGGCTTCACCGAAATTCTTTTTGACCTCAACCCTTTTATTAGAACAGTTCAGTCTATCACCTCTGTCTCATTTTCTTTCTCACCTGTAATCAAATGACATTATTTAGCAGCACAGCAATTTAATCAAAATTGCATGAATACACTTTACAAATGCTGTATAGAACTATAGCTTTGAAGTTTATGTAGCACATCTGTCCACTAGAGAGCAGTGTAGTATCAGTCATTGTCAGGCCTGGCTGCTTCTCTATGCAGAGCCAGTGAAGCAGAGAAGGTGGAAACCCAAATATAGAAGAAAATAACAACAGAGGCTAAAAATAACAGCAGCACGTGCTTACTTGTGGCTTAAAACTGCAAATTTTGACACAAAGAATACGCATAGATACATTGAAATATACACTGAACAACATCTTTCCTAACTCTGAAGGACTGTTTCCCTCTTTTCTATATGTCCGCGTAGGTTTAGAGATAGATAACAGAGACTGTATCTGCCCTAAAGGCTTCCTGAGCAGCCAGGATACTGAATACCTCACTTGTGACATTTTACACTCACTCATCATATTGCCCCATGTCAAAGAATACACTGTGCGCTCATACTCTCACACTAACATATGCACACATTTGAGTACAGTACACACACACACACACACACACACACACACACACGTGTGCTCAGACGTATACTCACACACACTCTTCGTCCGGCAGCCGTCCAGGCAGGCAGGCAGCAGGCTGGATCAGATAAATATGAGACTTGTAATGCGACCACAGAGACGAGGCTGATGGGATCAATAAAGAACGGCGCTGCAGGTCATTGGGAGAACACAGCGAGAGGATAAATATGGACTGGCTCATCGGAAAACAGAGCGGCGAGACTGATGGGTACACAACACTATATCTTCTCTAGTGTGTTCTTTCACCCATCTGACACAGATCAGACAGACAGATTTGTGACTCTGGTGTGCTCTATCTGTAGCAAGAGTTGACTGGTGAGAGTCTTCAGTGCTTGAGTTTCTGATGTTTTGACATCAGAACTGTTTGGTCTCAGTGTTTGTTGAATGGCGTCCACTTAGTGGCACCAATCACGTGTAAAACTACTTTAAAGCAGATCACTTTTGAGCAACGTTTGAGCACGTTTGAGCAACAATTTAGTTCCACAGGGTAGTTTTTCAATCTGCTTTCGTCCTGCTATCAGTGAAAATTGTATGCATTTAAATGTGGGTGTATTTAAGCTTTTGGAATGTTACTCCATTATCCCTTGGAAATTAATATTTAAACTTTTTTTCTAAAAAAAACCCTTTTTATTTGATTAAATAATGAATACATCAACTAATAATTACATCATTATTTGATGCAGCATTTAGACAAAACCTGAATCCAGATTATGTTGGGTATTAATGTAATGTCAAATTCCTAAAGATGTGTTGAAGATATTAAAAGGTTATTGATCATAGTCAAAAGTTTTATAAAAGAAAACAGTCAACGTGTTCCATTTCACACAGCTTTTTAAAGCTTGTGATGTACTTTGTATAAAAGATGATGAGTTGTGTGAAGTGTTTTCTTGTGTTATATTGTCAGCTGCCAATGGTCTCTAGTCTGCTTATAGTGACATCTGCTCCTAAACCAGGAGCTGGTATCCACATGGTATACAGTCGCTACACTGTTATGTCATGCTTGCTAAGTACGCATATGTGTGTGTGTGTGTGTGTGTGTGTGTGTGTGTGTGTGTGTGTGTGTGTGTGTGTGTGTGTGTGTGTGTGTGTGTGTGTGTGTGTGTGTGTGTGTGTGTGTGTGTGTGTGTGTTTCTTTTGCCTATTTGATATTCTAAAGATAGGTGTCGCTGCATCAAACATTCATAACAAATTGTATTTCCTGTCTCTTTTTCCCTGAGTAGTTTTTTTTCATTGTTATAGAGTAGTTCAACTCCTCAATACTTTTGGTTTATTTGTGCATAGTGGATGATATACGTAGTTCTGCTATTAATGCTGCTATGCTATGCCAATGCAATAGAAATGTGTTTGTACTGGTCCCAGTTGAAATATCATGGAACAAGGTCCAACAACAACAGACTCTGTTTTCAAAGAACCAACCAACTTCCTCTGTTGACAGTTGTTCCAGTGAATCTGTAAACATTGAGATTTGTGTATTTTGTGAAGATGATACTGTTCAATTAAAAGTCCAAAAGTTCGAAAATATTTTTTTTGTGATTGAGGTTAACTGACCGTATGAGCCTAGTTCATACCAAGACCTTAACAAATCTTCCATGGGCTTTACTGTAGCTAGCAATTAAGCTTCACCAGTAATGGTCATGCTTTAAGTAAAATGGAATCCAAACAAGCATGTGTTGCTCGGCTTAGCTGAACTTCTCACAGAATCAGCTTCTGCTTCCACCCTGTCCTTCTGCTGCTCAATGTGGAATTCATGGCTACTCAAAAGTCACTCAGCTTGACTATTCTACTTGCTGTTGTGCTCATGCGTATATTTTAAGGAACTGATGGCATGGTGATGGTGGACCATATCATTTACGAGTTTATTTAAGAAAAACAATTAGTGCTGATTGAACAGGGCTGGGAATCTTTGGGTGTCTCACGATTCGATTTTGATTCTTGGGGGTTTCGATTCAGAATTGATTTTCGATTCAAAATGATTCTGGATTCATTGATCCATGGATTCAAAGTCTCTTTATGAATTAGTATATACTTCAGGATCTACTCCAGTCATCTGTGAGACTGGCTGAATTTCTTGTTTTCCCTGTTTGGCATTCTACTAAGTTAAAGAGCTAGCCTTAGCACGCAGTATTTTTTCCCGCCTCTAGTGCTAAATAAGAAACTTGTAGTAATGGAATGGCACTTTTTTCTCAACTGTTGTTTAGAAAGTAAAAAAAGTGACATTTGTTTGTTTATGTACATATAGTATGAGAGAGGGTGTTACTCACATGAAGCAACCATTTTTAAGTTGAACTTGATGCAAATCACTGACTTACTTTAAATCATCTATAAGTCATTTTATTTTTTTCATGTCATGTATTTTATTTGTGTTGTCATCACTGCATTGTCATTTCAATCAAGCATCAGCTATAATATTCAGAATATTATGCATTTTATATTTTTCTCATACACATCCTTAGTGATATATGTTCTGTCAGTTTTTTGTGTCTTTTAGATTGTGTTCATCCTTTCTTTGTGTTTCGTATGCACTGAGCCATGCACACCTTTTTATTTTTTTTATGTTTTAGGATCAAAGAAGAACCAAAGCCTCAGCCTGCACAGTAAGTAAACTGCATTACCCAGAGTGCTCTAGGCTTTGACACTTCTTCCTGTCAGCTGATGCTGTGTGCTTCATGTGGCTTCCTCCTCGTTGTCTGGGAGGAAAATGAAAAAAAAGGCATTAATGTCATGGAAAGCTGCTGTGTTCACGATATGCCTTGAATGAGAAGCATTGGCAGATTTTTTTTATTTCTGTGCTGGACACTAGAGGTTTACTTCCATGACATCAATGCCAATGGCTTCTCCTTTCTACCGGCTTTGTTATAGATAGGCCCCCAGACCCTTTCCCCTCGTCCTTGTCCTCATACTTGCTGCCCATTCTCATCCAGTGTGTCATCTGCACTCTGATCGGCTTGTGCAGCCTTGTTATTCAATGCAGATGTGAACTAGATGCATTTTCCCTGCTTTTCTTTACTGTAGCTGCATTTTGACAAAATCCAACTGTAGGCCCAACCAATCCTATAATCCTATAACCTAAACCCTACTGCACCACCAGGCTAGAATAATGACACCTCTGTTCCCCTTAACTGAGCATTTGATGCAGCTCTCATTTCCATTGGCTGTAGAGCTATCCTGCTTTTTTTCAGTCTGTCTGTATCATCTTTATTTCTTCTATCTTTCTCTCTGTATTTCTGATGCTGTGTCTGGTTTGTCCCTCTAATCGCTGCTCTGCCCATGTCCGGCCTACTTCCCTCTCTGTGCGAGTTATAGTAGATGTTCTTGCTATTATTCCGTTCTCAGGACCTTACTCTTAAGAAACACATTCAGCAAATATTGTTTTCTCCCATGATGAGTCATTTGGTGTTCCAGTCACATTTTGCTTATTCGAACAGGTGGTTTAGTGGGATCAGTGAGCTGGTAAATAACGTCCTTCAACCACAGCAAAAGTCCCAAAATGACAAGCAGCCAGAGCCAGACGCGTAAGTAATAGGACAGACCCATCTTGGTCTTCTCACAGCAGGTCCAAACATACAGTGGTGACCCCAGCAGCTGGACGCACAGTATGTTTGACCCTTGTGCTTATCAAACATTTTTTCTATGTGTGTATGACGAACAAGTGATAATGTGGGAGTGGTGTGCCACAATAGATTTTACTTTGATAAAGGACATGTCTCTGATGCTTTGTTAGATGTTACCAAAACCAATAACAAACGGCAGACAGCCATAATAAGAATGATGCTTCAATGGGATTCACAGTTGTGAGCAATGTTATTTAAGAAAAAAAATAGTAAATGGTCCTGGACTTCTAAAGCGACCACTCTGACCACTCAAAGCACTTAAACAGTACATGTCCTCCCATTCACCTGTTTACAGCACAGTCACACACTAGTGGATGAGGAATCTTCATAAGGTACACCTCTGCCCAACATGTGACTGCAGGAGCTGGGGATCAAAATCCCAGAACTTTTGGTTGAGACACAAAATACTCTGAATTATTTGGACTTAAGTAGAGTTTGTTAAATATTGTTATAGACCACATTGAGCCATTCTACCTTATTCTTGGCATTATTTGATCTGATTGAAACAAGCACACAATTATAGCTTTTTGGTCAATGTTTAATAAGGTAATGTATTGAATAGAACATTTTTTTTTAAATTTTTTAATTTTAAGTCTTCAAAGGTGGCATGGAGTAATAGGGAGCTACCTGTCTCCTCCCCTAGTCTTACAACCTAAACTGAACTTGTCGTATATGATCTTGTTAGATTATGTACTTGGAATTTTTCTTTGATGTATTTGAATCTAATATGGAACTTATTTAAACCTAGACCAACATGTTGTGGTTATAAGGTAAATCCTCATGATACATACTATGGTTAACTTAAACTGCATTCCTAACCTGATCAGATTTAGGGAATGTTAAGGGCTTCAGATTTACCTCAACTGTACAGCTCATTTTTTACAAGTATTATTTTTCCTTTGGAGAAGCTTTATGAGTGGAATAGATTCTCAGTTAAAGGACTATGTTTTGAAAACTTTAAAAGTAATGCAACACTATTTCAATACAATGATGCCATGCAGTCACAGAAGCACAGGAGCACAAAGTACATGAGTTCAGTTAGTTATACAGAAAACTACTCTCTTGCCTAATGTATGGTGTTGGTATAACCCAGATTTATTTTTTTATTGCTGCTCATTGTCACAACATGGCTGGCAATTAGGCCATCAGGAATGGTTCATTCATGTGTGAGAGTCAAATGACGCTTCAAACACCTCAATGAGAGAGATGAAAACAGAAAGTAAACATTGCAAAGGATAACTTGTGAACAGATTTAACCTTGAATGTATACCGCTGGGTAGGACTGTGAGGGTCCTACTCAATTTTTGTTTTAAGGCTACAGGCACCTACACATATCTTTGTATAAACTACCCAGTAAGTGTGTTATCATAACTGAAGTTAATATGTGCAAAGCTCATTTTGACAACATCAGAGCATACAAAGCCTTGTGTCCCCCCCTGGTGGGTCCGGCACACCAGGTTGGGAATCAGGGATGTAGACCATAATCATCTGGCTGGCCCAATAAGTGTGTGTCCTGCCCCTTTTATAAATCACAAATGTCAGGCTATTCACTTTGAAACGGTAAATGCCACGCTGCTCTGGTAAATCTCAAATCTTAGGCCCTGCTATCTAACATAGTACAGACCACTCCTATCCCATAGAGAACAATCATCACGCTCCACCCTGTGACTTTGTATAAGCCACACCCCTTCAAAACAAAAACCTCAGGCCAACCCAGTCACATATAAAAAAAGCCCAGAAGCACAACAAGGGATTTATTAGATCAGATGAATTGGAAGAGGGCTGCTAGTTTCCCTTTAATGGGTGATATGAATACACAGACATATAACCCAGTTAATTACTGCCATTGTTGTGCCTTAATTGCCATCTTACCATATTAAGGATGATGGAGGAGTAAAAATTCAGTTAAGACGATTTGCAGGAGTAAAATGGAGAAGCTTGTTTGGAGCTTGTAGTTCACCCTTACTGTTGATATGTTTTAGTCTGTCATATGTCCAAGAGAGGGTCTCATGTTACTGGCTCTATGTAGCTGCTCTAGTGCGTCCCAGAGGTAAGAGAGCTCTGATACGGCAGCATGAGATGGGACAATAACCAGCGTATGATTACTCGTCAGCAGTGTCACCTACATTTGACCGAAAAAGTAATCCCTCTGGAATGGACATCGTACGCCATGTGCCTGCTGCCACTTTGAATCTTATTCTCTTCCACCTTTATAGTTTTTTGTTCCCTTATGCTTTTTTTGGTAGCTGGATTTTTTTTTATTTAAATCTTCTGAAAACATGTCTCTCTCTCCTTTATACAAATATCTCTGTCTGCTTTAAGCCTTCAGTTGTTCCTCTTTAACACATTTAATACAGACAACAGTCCAATTATTAAACTCTGGCTTTTTTTTACACGTGATTTAAACCTCTGTGAAACTGCCCAAGAGGTTAATGTGTGTTAGAAGAAATGGCACAGAGGAAGGGAGAGGTAATCACGGGTTATCTCGAATAGCTCCATTCACAGTGGAACCATGTAGTGTCTAAACACTGAGCACATGTGTTTGAAAACATCTGAGTGTGATAGCAGATGAAGGGAATATAATACGTGATTGTTGTTGTCTTTTTTCCTTGATCCTTGGAGTGAGTGGCTTTACCTCTTAAATCACAGTCTTCATCAATCGTTTATTATCAGGCCCTCAATCAGTAAAGAGATTCGGGGGATCTGTTAAACAAGGCTAAATTCTAATCTCTGCTTGGTAAACACACAAAGGCTGTGACACAATTAGCCCTTTAATCCCCTAGAGGGTACAACCAGAGACATGCCACTGGCACTCTATCTCATTTTTAGATGGCACAGAGACTTGATCGCAACAACCACAAAAAGGGTCTTCAGCTCGTGTGTTGCCATTACATTTGGGCTCTAACAGTCGGGTTGTGGGCAAAGGGAGCACATTTATCTCAAACGCCGAGCTGTATGTGGTAAAAGGATAGCACTGCTCAATAATTCACAAGTGCTAATGAATGTTGCAGGGGATATGTGGGGCGAAACCAATTCTAATCGCCATATTATGAAGTCAGCCCAGTGTTTAGTTTCCAAGGAGACGCTCAATTGACATGTGTCATACAAAATGCATGTGAAGAGTCCATGCAGGTTTTTCTTTTTGAAGCAGGTTGGTTAGGAGTTAAGAATCCACTGTATGAGATCAGATGCTATCTGTAGGACACAAACAGTCACACAACAGTCACACTGCAGTGGCAAATTCTTGATGGATTAAAGGTGCTGCTTTGTGTGACCACTAATTATGGAAACATAAAAACTATTGAAGAATAATAATATAATGTATGGGCTCTATCGTTATATAACAAAACTGTAGGTCTCACCCTGCTACGGTCCTAATATAGAAACACAGGTGCAAATGATTCATTAAACGCGAGGGAACCTGAGAAAGTGGAATTAAGTGATGTTCTTAAACTTGCAAAGCAAATTTGATACCCAGCCTGCTGTTTTGGGAGAGATGCGGTATCAAAGGAGCAGCTCAGCTTTGAAGCACCTGAGGTCATGGTGTCTGCTTTTCCTCGCAAAAGCCTCACACACCACACACAACGAAAGGTTATATCAGTCAGTCAGTGGATGTTAAGAGCTCACTGTGCAAGTGTGATTGTGAGAACATCAAACATGAAAAGGCTTGTGGCAATGAGAGGCAAAGTTTTGGTACACAAAAATTTGAATTCTGATATCAACATGGACATTGATCTTTTCGTTAGCCTCTGACCGAAAAATGTTAATATTAACTCTTCAGAAAGAAAAAATACAATAAATAGAATTGTGTGTTTTTTGTTGTTGAATTTTGGTTAAATAGCAAGTTGATTTTGTTTTTCTGGTAACTGTATTTTACCAGCCTAACCAGGAAATGCCATTAGCTTAGGCTATAAAAGCTGTGGTATGTGAGGTTGGTTCATGCTATTAAGTTGTCCCATTTGAAAAAAAAAACATGAAGTAAGCCAAACCATCATTTTTTTTAGGCCACCAGATCTTATCACACTTCACTGAACTCTGTTCTTCCCATTCATCCACAGGAAGTTGCACCAGCAGTTTGAGTCATATAAGGACCAGGTTAAGAAGATGGGAGACGAGACAAAGCCGGTCCAGGACCAGAAGAGTGAAGCCCGACTTGTGGAATATGCCACAAAACCAAGTTTGCCGATGGCTGTGGCCACCTCTGTTCATATTGCCAAACCAAATTCTGTGCTCGGTGCGGGAGGACGAGTGTCTCTGCGGTCAAATAAGGTAACGCTGACTTGCATGCTAGGTATTCTCTGTTTTTGAGGACACACACAAACAAACACACATATTTAAACATATCAAATGTATTTATGTAAATTCCAGTTTTTATGAAATGCTGTGTAAGTGTGAATCAGGTCAAAAGGGCCTCTTATGGCAGCTAATGTTTTCAGATGATCAACATTGACTCCAATTGTGTTTGAACTGTAACGCACAGTTGTTCTATTTCACCACTGGAGGGAACTGTTCCTCCTTTATTTTCCCAAAAAGGAACCTGATCGCTGCTTTTGTATGCTGTGGCTCTCCAGTGCCTAACTAACCTCTGTAAAATCCTCCCAACAGACTAAACCAAAGCTTTTAGTATTAGACTGCTTAAATTTGAATCATGAGCCTGAGTGTTTTTATGCAATGCCATCCAATAATTTGCTGTTGGAGTATGTGACAGTACTGCAGGACCTACTAATGCCACTCTCAATCTCTCTATCTTTTCTGCCCCCTTTCTTTCTTTCCTTTCTCCCTCTTACTGTCATTCTTTCTGCTGCATTCCTGCTCTCATGGAATTGCAACAGGAGGACAAAGTGGTTAGCAAACCTTTTCTGAATTTATTTGGACTATGTCTTTACTCAAGCATTGTTCATGAAATGCTGTGACATTTATAAATAAACACATACAGCAGCCAATAATGACTTGAAAACAACAAAAAATATGATTAGTCTTGTCTGTGAGTCTACCATGAAATGCTGTTGAGTGAAAAATACTGTTTTTAATAAGGTTATATAAGATATATTGTCATTGGGATACAACATTTTTCAATATTTCTTTTTGGGCTTTTTGCCTTTATTTTATAGGACAGTAGATGTTTTGATATACTTTATTAATCCCTGATAGGAAACCAGAGAGAAAGTGGGGAATAAAAGGCAGGCAGGGAGCCACAGGCCAGACTCAAACCTGGGCCTCCTGCGTGAGGACTACAGCCTTTGCTAGACCATCTGCACCCCTCATATTTTATGAATGAAGTTGAATTGACAGTTAACAACTAGTGCTGCCCAGGCTGTGCAAACATTATATTCTCTCTGACTCAAGATATAGCTCAACAAAGCTTGAAAAAAAACCCTGATAATCTTGTCCCATTTATATAGATTTATTTTTGAGACGTCACAATTTTAACAGAACGTTTTTTAATTTTGTAATGATAAATATGGATAATTACCAGGTAGAGGTGGTAAAATGTGTGTTACATAAAAAAAATTGTTCAATGCTGTACTAATGGACCTTCTTTTAAATGAATAGGCTGTAATGTAATTTAGGATTTTATCATTATACCATGTTTCAATTGTTTGTTTCTTATACTAGTTACACCAACAGCCAGCTGAGGGTAAAAAGCTTTTCTAAACAGATTATTGAATAAAAAAAGATCAATGTGAAATTACATACCAGGTCCAAACTATCCCAATTCAATACTAACATGCAGTTTTACATGTTATGAAGGGTAGAACAACATATATCAGAAAGAGAAAGCTATAATGTCTGATTGCATTAAACAGCCCTAGGGATTATCTATAACTAAGCACATAATTAAAACAAATATAGTCACACAGGGACAGCCAGATGGACACATCACAGGGGTCATATCATTGTCTTTGTCCACATTAAACGTAGATTTCCCATAGCTGTTTTATCTCTGGTGATTGCAAAACAGTAAATAAAGAGTCTAAAGACCACACTGAAGGAATGTAGATCTGCAAGTTTAATCCTAACAGGGAGAACCAGAACCAATAGGACATACCTCTGCCCTGCCTCCTTCACTGCCAAGACCACAGTTGTACAGGCTACCATGGTTCACTGCTAGACAATAGCTGGAAGATCAGTTACTGTGTTGTACAGATGGTGTTGAGCAATAACAGTGGCAGCAGGTTGGTGATGGATCGTCATATCGTGATCGTGATCCATTGAGGCCATGTCTACTATTTAGCTGCTGGCGCCTTGTCCCCTGTGCAGTTAGGGTTAATTCTCCATCTCTAATGTCAACTGCATTGCCAGATATAAAGAGTAAAAGTTTACTCAAATAATCGAAGACATTCAAGAAAGAAGCAGGGACATTAATCTTATTCATTGTATTGATAAACTTCATTGTTTAACACTTTTAATGCAAGAAAGGAAACTCAAAGAAAAACTAATTCAACTTAAAAAAAATTATAGATTGCCATGGTTAGTGTAATAGCATATACTTTTACACCACTTTGTCATCATGGTAAAAAATGTGAAATGCATCAATATAGCCATAAGTGAAGAGATATTTTTAGCTGT